CCCTCCGCATCTCTGGCCTGTACCCCAGTTCTGTACAAATAAATAAATAAATCTTTAAAAAAAATAATAATGAACCCTGGCTGAAAAGGGGGATTGTTGTTTTTAGGGTCCCATAATACTCTTTTCATGGTTAGATGGAACCAAAAACCTACTCTGTACAGGAAGAAGCTCTTGCCCTACATTTCCCAAATTATTTCCATAAAAGTGATCAAAGTTTGGCCCTCCGTGGTGGTACAGTGGGTTATTAAAGCACAGTACTAAGAAGCTAAAGGCACTTCTGCATAAGTTCGATTTCTGCCTGTCCCGGAGGTGACCACATGGTGTGGCAGACCTCTCCTGACCCGCCCGCTGCTCCCCTCATCAGCGTACTTCCGTCGATCTGCCTGTTTTGCTCCCCACTTTATCTCTGGTGACACTTCTCGCTGCCCCTGAGCCTCTGGCCTGTACCCCAGTTCTGTATGCACAAATAAATAAATCTTTAAAAAAAAAGTGATCAAAGTTAAACATTTTGTGGTTCTCATCTTTTAGAACAGTTAGATTTGCTCTTCTTTCAGCTCTCAGATCATCTTGGGAGTTCTTTTGGTGTGAGGAAACACCAGTCATGGGTCTTAAATTCCAGTCTGCTTTCTTAACCTGGGGTAGGAAATTCAAGTTTCAGAGCTTGGGGCAGAGGCACGCAAAGGGAGTAGCCGCCTGCCTCCTGAGTCCTCATTAGAACTCTGGTAAATTGTAGGAAAATCAAATGATGTTAGCCACTCTTATCTCCTCTTAAGCCAATCTACCACATCAACTTTGGAGAAATGGAACTATTTGAAGATATAAAGAACACAGTAATACTGAGGATTCATAGTCAAAAGGGGCACCAAGTATTTTTGTTAAATTTAGAGTTCTGAATTGACCCATGCCAGGGGCTCCTGAGCTACACCAACTGCCATGCTCCATGCACCAGGGCCACAATCCTGGTCACTGTGGCAATCCAGGAAGAGCAGGGCTTCTTTTAAAGGGCTAATGGAAGAAGGGTAACGCTGGCTTTTCACAGGACAGCCTGGTGGCACAACTGAGGGGTGATGGAGGGAAGCCGGCCCCAGAGTGTGCTCCTACCTCGTCGCACGCGGCACAGCGCGGCTTCAGGCACTCGGCATGGTGCCTGCCACAGTATATCTTCCCATCTTGGTAAAAGTAGATCAGGTCCACCAGGAGCTCATTGCAGACGGTGCATATGAAGCACGGTGGGTGCCAGCAGACACCGTGGCCTGCACGAGACGCGAACACAGCGATGTCTCCGCCATTAATCTGCCCTCCACACTGTGAGGCAAGCAGAAAGTCAGTAGGGCACCAGCCCCATGGCTCAGTGCCACACCTGAGTGACAAACGACAACCCCCGCCACCAGCACTCATTTTCAAACTAGTCACTGTGTGAGGCAGGCAAGTTTTCCTTCCTTCCCTCACCTCCTTCCTAGGGCCTACACACAAGATGGAGATAAAGTAACTGAGAAAATAAGGACTCATAGAGGTGGGAAGAAAGAAAAACTTGGTCAGTGTGGAACATACAGGAACTCCGCAGGCAGGAGGCCAACTTAGCGGGAAAGTCTCCTTCTCTTTCAGAGACTGCAAACTCCATCCAGAGGCACCGCCGAGGTTACCCCAGGAGGAATGGCTGTGCAGCGGGGTGAGAGAGGTGTGGGAGTGGGGCCTGGAGGAGAGGAGAGGACTGCACAGTAGGGGGAAGAATACATAAAAATGAGCCCACTTTTTTTTTTTTTTATTAATCAGCTAACTTTATTTTTTTATTTGTATATTTTTGCATCATTTTTCATTTTTGTACAACACATAATTTCTCATCCCAATCATAGTCCCCATAAAATTCCCAACACCAATTCACCCCTGTACCATCACCACTGTTGTTCTCTTCCCACCCCTGTTTTGATCTTATTCCCCTGTCACTCCCTGCAGACTGTCTTTGGTTTATAGTTGACTGTTGTTAATGAGCTAACTTTAAAAGCAGATACTCATTCACAATTCAACTAAGTATATAACAACCTAGTTCAAATTTCTCTACCTTGACTATAAGAAACTGAGAAATACTTTGCAACAATAAATCCAATAAACCTATCTCTAATTTACTAGTATTGCTGCAAAAAATTCAGTTGATTTGATATACATGGTTCATAATGAACCAATGTGGATTCCTCTTTCTTAAGAATTTAAAGTTATCTGTGCAAAAGGCACAAAATGATGTAAAAATAAATTATATTATTTTAAAATATAATATTGGGAAAAAACTCATCTGTGCAAATACTTCTATCAGAAATTTGCCTTGAACTGAAATGAGCCCACTTTTAACTATTTTTAGTCCATGCCTTTCCCACATATGTTTATCCTGCACCCCCTAATGTGGTTTTATGGTCTTGGCAACTTCTAAGGTCAGGCTCTGGGACGTCCTTCTTTCTGACTCCTTCTCTGTCTGCTCAGTCATTTTCTAAGGCTCCTTACTCTGTCCAGAAAGGAACAGGGCAGAACCCCTGATAATCCGTACTTCTGTTTCTTGAGATAAAACAAATACAGACAGAAGGTGTCTGAGGGAAGAGTAAAATGGGAAGTCGTGGGTCCAGGGTGAGGAACTTTGCTGGCTATGGCATTGGCACGAGGCTCACAGCCTCCACCCAACAGGGACTGGCTGTGGGAAGCAAGTCTAAAGGGGAGAGAAGCAACCCCCTACCTTTTCCACACCATATATGGGCACCAGGTAGAGTGGAACACTTTGTAGAAAATGGAGTCAAAGTGTTCCTTCGATCGCTCAGCTGGTAGAGCGGAGGACTGTAGAAAATAGAGTAAAAGTTCACGGAATCGTCTCTGGCACCTCATTCAAATGAGTGACAGAGAAAAGGACAGTCCGTAACAGATCTTGCTACCCATCTTTTATAACAGATGGGGAACTCGGGAGAGTACACATACTGTTAGAAGATAAACTGAGGCACAATAATGTTTTTGAGTTTAAATGAGCAAACACTGATTTGAATTGGGCAGAATCAAAGCAAAAGCATTCCACGGACAGGGGCTAGAGGAGAGTTTCTTACAGAGAAGACAAGGAAGCAAAGTAAGGAAATTTGCTTGGTTATAGTTTAAATGGCTGTCACATGTAGGAAAGCCTAATTGGCTATTTGCGATTGGTTAAGTTTCTTTTTCTCTGATTTGAGGACGTTGAGTCTGGCTTAGATGTTATATAGGAAACCAAGGCATTAGTGCCACCTCAAGGTTATGACCTCCTTGTTTAACTGCTTGAGTACACAATCCCATTTAATTCTCACGAGAATTCTGTGACACAACATTTATTACCCCATTTTGCCGATGCTGAAAATAAAGAAAAGTCATGTGGCCAGAGTCATCTGGCAGAAACATGAGTCAGATTTGTGTCTTCCTGCCTGTATGTTCTTGTGACCATAAAGTATCTGACCTTCCTTTGGCCTTAGATGAGCCTCGCCAAGCAGGTTCGAGATGACAGACTGAGGAGGGGCAGAGGTGGCAGTGACTCCCCGAATCTCATGTCTCAATCAGTGACCCCCTCCATCTCAAAGGGACATCAAAGATCAGACCCCACTGTTAATCCCCAGTCCTCTGGCTCTCCTAGTTAAGTAATGTATCCACTTCCACCTGAACCTTCTCACCCAAACCCTCTGAAACCACAAACTAGGGCCAGCCAGTGGCATTCACTCTCCTTAGCAACCAGCTTTCTCTCTATGAGCCAGCTCACTTATCTTCAGTACATGGACGGGTCCCTTCAGAGCTGAAGGAGTGACTGGGGCTCTTCAGAGAGCAGTGGGGCTAAGAGCAGGCTGGGGCAGTACCGGAAAGCTACCGGCAGCTGAGAAGTAGGAAGGGAGACCTAGGCAGGTGGAAGTTCCACTCTGCTGTTTTTAAATCCTCCTCTACCATGCCCTGGCATTTTACAGAAGAGCGTGGGAAAAACAAACCCAGACTCCTCACCACAGTGAAGTCCTAGGGAGAATGCAGGGGAACTTCGTTTAGGAACCCTCAAGCCCAAGACCACCCACCCCCTTTTGATGTCACTGATTCTGGGGTGATCCTGGGAAAGAGGCTGACAGGATAGCTCTTTTTTTTTTTTTAAAGGATTTACTTGAAAATATCAGGCCATCAAGTCATCTCTCTGCTCAAATCCTTCAGTGGCTCCCACCTCCTTCGTGGTTCCGACTACTCCTAAATGATCTGGTCCGTCCTGAACTCTGACTTTATCTGCCAATTCTATCCATTTCCTCTCCACACCAGCCACCTGTGATTCCTTGAGCACGACAGAAATGTTCCTATCTTGGTCTTTAAGCTATCTGTCCCCTCTGCCCCCAAGTTTCACGAGACTCGCCCTGCAGTTCTTGTACATCATTGCCCAGCACTTTCTAGGTCTTCCCTGCTGTATTTTTTCTTTCTCTCCCTCCTTTCTGTTGTCTGACTTCTTCCCCCTGAACAGAACTCCTTACAAGGGCAAGGGCGAGTTTTTAAATTCTTTCGTTCATTGCTGTCTCTACAAGGCCTAGAGTTGTGCTTAGCATAGAGTTGGCACTCAGTGAAGTGAATGAATAAATGAACGAATGAATGAGTGGAAGAATACCTCACCATCCTCCGGGACCCACACTCACCTGCTCACATATAGCTCCTGTCATGGTGACTGGGAAGGGCCTGACATTTCCACGACCCAGGTTTTCACGCTTCCTCTGGTTACTGAATAGCTTCAGCTCCCTCTTCTCTTCCTCATCCAGGGAGTTGCAATACCGAACCTAAACAGACATGAGGATGGCAAGGAGGAGGTCACTCAGACATCTCAGGGTTCCCGAAGTCAGTGCCTCAGAGTTTTCTTATTAAAGATGCTCCCGTTTAGTTTTAGAGATCTTGCCTACACCGCAGGCTTGGGCTATAGAATCTCTATGGTCAAAAAGCTTATTAAGGGCCCTAAATCCTGGAACCCAAATCTTGAGCCTGCTAATAGTCCTGTAACAGTTCTTTATCTTACACTCGCACTCTGCTCACCATGCTAGGGAACAGCTCTGGTGCAAGTCAACATCTGGGAGTTTCTCCTTTCAAACTGACTATGGGGTCCAAAGATCATCATCTTTACATGCCCATGTAAGTGATCGCTGAGCACATAGGACGGCACCCAACATGTGAACCAGAAGTGCTGTCATTGTGTGTTGGTGGCTTCTGTTCTCAGCTCGTTTTGGGGAAATGGGGAACCAAAGGCTTGGGGGTTGGTTCAGTGGGCACTTGTAAAAATACAAGTCCCTGTATTTTTAATCTATGTGTAGGAGAAAAGGCGCTACCTTCTGGGCTTTGGCTAGTATGTCAATTCACAGGAGATATTTTACCTTTTGTTAAACACAGAAGCACAGAACTAACAGAGGAACATTATAGCCTTCCCATTCTCTCCCTTATTTATGCACATCTTGGGAATTCTGCCATAGTTTTGAACTATTATTTACTTAGTAAGATTTTTAAAAAGGACTTCCCCACCCCCCCTTGAATAATTTACTGAAAATGAAAACATATTTTGTCTATAAATAGAAAACCAGTATCACCTGCAAAAAACACACGGTGACCATAAAACAGTGAGAACAAAACTGCCTTGATAGGTTTTAGTTGGCGACTTTTGCTGGCGAAGTGAAGATTTTTTTAATGCTGTTACTTAAAAGTGAAGCTAGTATGAGTCAGAGAAGAGTGAGCACCAAATCACAGTTTTCCCCTGGACTAGTCACTCTCAATTATGAGGAGCGAAACACAATTTCAACAGGAGCGACTCTTTCATTATGGGTTTGACTTATTTACTACCATACGCATGTACCATGTGAGGTCATATGCCACCATACTTCAGGAAACAAGGCCTCGTCCCTCCTCCTGTCTTCCTTTTGAGCAATCTGGGTATCAGAAAAGGTTACTGGATTTGCTCAGACGGCACGTCACACAGATGATAAGAGGGAAAGCTTTGAACTAGAGTGTTACGTTCCAATTGGAAAGGTGTAGATAACAAAACTGTCTTATCTGGGTGCAAAAGAAAATGATCAAATATTTACTTTAGAATCCCCTTTGTCCTCAAAGGGGTTGGGTCAAATGGACTAAAGCAATCCACTGGGTCATGTGTAAGGAATTTTGACCAACAGGAAGAAGGAATTTGAATGGTCTCTTTTCATGAAACCACAGTTAACTGTAAACAGAAGAAACTATTACAAGCAGGGAAGAGCAGATCACTTTCCTGTATCAAACAAGTCTGCAGTGGCTGTCTTCATGTGACCTGCACGGCCCAGAATATTACATTACACTGCTGACATTTTATGGACATGCTTTTAAAGAAAGGCACACCCCTCCGGCTTGTAAAAACCCGCATTTTCACTTCCAAATTAGTTAACTGGGCATCGGGTTACAATGCTTGCTCTCAGCTTTAAAGGAGCAAGCATTATTTATTTATATTTGCTTTAGGAAGTCTGAAATAAGCAACAGGAAAAGGAGCTTGACTCTGTCTAAGCAACTGCTTCAGCTTTTAAGCTTTTGCTCCTATTTTTTAGACCTTTGAATTGTTCCTTTTTATTCAGGTGTGGGAATATAAAGACTAAATGGCATTCACTCATTTCCCCTGGATGGAGCTTATGGGGAGGCGCAGCTGGTAGAAATTTGGTGCCCACCTCTCTCGAGGAGTTATTTCTCCATTCATCAATAAATTGATGTTATTCTTCAAAAGCTAAGTGGAAAGTTCATTCTATAGGATTACTATTTTTTTTTACACCAGATATTTAGGTATTAATTTGTAGTTTACAAATTGTCTCAAGTGTGACAATTTTTCAACAGTATAGATACAAATTTCCCTTTCTGATTGACTTGACTTCAAAGATGAGAAGTGCCCTTCATCCAGAGCTATGTCTGGGTTCAGAGCAAGTACCTCCCTCAAGCCATCCTTTTAAGAACACAAACGATGACCCTGGCAACTCGGACGTTAAACAATAAAAACCCAGATGTGCAGAGCTGCAAATCTGGACACGTAACTTTTACTGCAGTGTAACGTGGAAAACTTGCAAACTCACTTAACGTGAAATGATGCTGAAAATTCAAGAGAATCACAAAGTTTTTTTCAGGTTCTGATCTGACCCAAGGAATCTCAATCATCTAATGTACTTAGGCAACCGGCACATTCTTTTTCCATAGGAGAAAAAGCTGGACTTGAGCTTTAAAATTTTAGTGCTCCCTGGTTACCCCCAAATAGCTCCTAACACAGGCACAGAGGCGAACCCAGGCCGTAATGAGATTCTGTTTTCGGTAACTCTCCCGGAGATGTCCACCAGTTCCTTTTGGCTCCAACTAAGGAAGCTAAAACCTAAAACAAACTGCCAGAGTTTTCCTTTGAGGATCTTACTGATCACAGCATTTTGATAATGAAAACGATTCACAGAGGTTCTAAATGAAGTCCTCTTGCACCCCCCGGTATTCCCTTACCTCATTGTCATGTGGTGGCAGCTGGTGCAATAGCTGTTTGATTCGCAGTTTCTCTCCAGGACTGTTGACATAAGGAACTTTCTCTTCTGGGAGACAGCTATAGTACTGGTGAACCTGATGGATGGAAAGAACACAGATCACTTGCCTATCACTCAAAATCTCCTGCCCATTCGCACTTCCTGGGAAGATGACTCCCATAGCAGGCAGGACACAGTCTACTTCTCGCTGTCTCCACCCTTTGTGGAGTTCAAGAGCATAGGAGTTCCTTCTGGCAGAGAAACTCATCCTTATGGAAGAGTCAGACAGAGCAGCTCTCTCTTGGCACTTTCCCTCTACGGCAAAAGTAAAGCCAGCAAACTTTCCTAGAAAAAAATGAGAATTCGGCAAGCAAGCTGGTGAACCCGGAGGGTAGGGCTTTCTCGGCAGGCTCCCGGAGAGCTGACTTTACCATTTTCTGTTAGTCTCCAACATGCTCTGTGCCTGCTGAGCCAAAGGGATGTGTCAGCGCCTGCCTCGGCACTGGAGTCAAAGCCAGCCTTTGACTCAGGGAACTCCGGGGTACCTCAGCCTCCACCTACACTAAAGGCCCTCCAGGTTTTGAGCTCTGTGGGGACAGGGAGTAGTTCACACCTGCCAGAAAGAGAGTCACTAAACCTGGGCTAGAGAGCATGTAATTAAAAATCACCAATGACATTTCGTGCCTCCTAGAATGCTCCTGTTTACAACTGTCAGACTGTGTATTTGCACTTTCTGAGGCTCATTCAACCCTAACAGTGAATGAAAGCATCCAGCATTTAATTTTATCTGAAAAAAGAAAACCCTAACTACCATGCAGCTGCATGTAAAACTAGGGGGAGAAAATATTAACCAAAGAAGAAGGTGGGCTCTTACCTAGGGGAAGTAGAAAACAAACAAACAAAAAACAACAATAAACTAAAAAAGTCACAAGCTCCAAAAATGACATCATGGGAAATACTTCTCAACTATCTCCTTAGGATCATGAGCAGCTCCTGAGAAACAAGACATGCATTTAACAAGATGGAGAAGACAAGGCTTGGGGCCCTAAATTCATCATATGCATTATAGTCCACAAATTTGCGTGATTCCCTTGAGTTTAGGGAGCTCTGGAACATGAACACATGTTTTGGGAATGCTGGAGTGCAGAGCTGTGAAGGCTGTCTACTTTGATCTCTGGAAATGAAGTCAAAATTGTTCCAAGGAGGGGAAAAGGTTTTGCCGTGACAAGGTCTTAAAAAATAAAATGTCAAAGCTCTCTCTATATGTTCTTAACAAATGGCCGTAACCACTCACCAGCAAGCGCTTATCATGCTCTTAATCAAATCCCAAAGACAAGCATACAGAGATTTCCTGCCACAGATGCACTGGCATTCCAAGGGCAGGGCCTTCACACTGCTCTCTAGAGCACCTGGCAGGAAGCCCCATCCTGGGACAGGAAGGGATCGCTCCGGGTTTTGAAGGCGACCCACAGGCTACCAGCACTGTCTGAGAAGAAATGAAGCCCAGATCATGAGGTTGGGATTAGAAGCTGGCAATCGGCCCACAGAGGCTGGCACACCACTTCATGCCTGGGAGAATCAGCACACCATATGCTTCCTCAGGTAAGCGCCAGGTATAAAGCAGCACAGCCTCTGAGTGTCGGGCAATGGGCTTTCCCTCCCAACTCAAGGGATTGCTTCTAGAAAAGTCTTGTTGAAACATCATCCTGTCATTCTTACAACTCCTATTACAGTTATAAAGACATTAAGGACAAATGCTCATATGAAATAAATCACTGTAGGTGCTTGTAAATGAAGAGGCTAATTTAAGTTCAATTGACCCTCCTCTCAAACATCTATGCACACTTGCCCCACTTCCCTTTATAGACCAGAACAGAGAGATTTCTGAGAGCCCTTCTGAATCAATGGCTAAAACCAAGGCCTCTCTCTGATAATGCCTGAGGTGCATCCAGGTACGAATTTCTCTGTACCGTCTGCAGCACAGCCAGGAAGCCCACTGGTCACCACCACTGAAAATATATCTTTTCTACCAATAGTATGGGTTAAATGAGTTTCCCGCAAGGCAACCAATAATTTGGTGGACAACTTGAAAGCTTACCTAGTCAGTGAAAGCTTGAAAGCTTACCTAGTCAGTCTGAACCCCCAATCATGGCTCTTCCATTTTTCCATCCCTACATTCCCCATCCCAATAAGAGAATCTCTCAGAATACTCATAAGTTTGGAGCAGTTAAATGAGAGTGGAAACAAAGCATTTGGCTCTCACAAACAGTAACTAATGGGCAAATATGGGAATAAGTAAACTGTCCATTCTAGCAACTCCAAATGAACAATACAGGTGTTTCCTGGCCTTGCTTCTATTTAACACAGGGCAACACTGTCAGCTTACAAGTGAGATGAGACCAAATCCTGAGAGCCATGATCAGTCTTAGTCTAAACAAGAAGGTTGCAAGGATTAAAATGCTATTAGCTTGTTTGCTTTCAGGGAGAAGAAAAAAAGGCAAATGATAATAAAGGTGTGGTGTTTCCCAAGAAGCCAGCATTAGAGTGAGGCCTCAGGAAAGGGACCCACTGCTATTAGGTGGCAATAAGGGCTGTCTCATCTCTCAAAGCCCAGTGTCCTCGTCCCCTGCTCTACTTTTCCTCTCGGCAGATCTGTTTATCCCCTCAAGAGTTTAAGGTTTCCCACAGCACTTGAGTTTACACACCTCCACCCCAATAAGTGGGATGGGCTAGTTTCTCAATTCCAAATTCCCCAGAAAGGGACCTCAGACCTCGTTAACTGGGGCAAGGTCCATGCCTGGGGACTGGATTGGTGAAGTTCCACACTTTCAAGACTGGAGGATCAAGAAGCCCCAAAGTGACAGGACTGACTCAGGGGCAGAACCCTAGAAATATTTAGGTTGTCAATAAATGCCTTGGTTTGCTGAGGTCCATCTCAAGGACTTCAAATTCTAAAGCCAATAGTGGCAATAACTACTCTTTGGGATACAGCTCTGCCTTTCCTGGCGAGATATCTGATTTTGCTTTGGAAGCCCACTGGTCACCACTACTGAAAATATACCTTTCTACCAATAGAATGGATTAAATGAGTTTCCCACAAGGCAACCAATAATTTGGTGGACAACTTGAAAGCTTACCTACTCAGTGAGATTCTCCATTATTAAATCCACCCAGTGAATATTAATTAAAAACCTACCAAATCACCCCCATGTGGCGTGGCAGGTGATCGGACTTGTTCTGAGGAAGGAGAATGAGTTTGGTCCCTCACCACTCCCAATCCTCCTCAAAGGCTGTTAAAATTTAGGAGCAAACAGGAACCTTCTTATGTTATGCTAGCTTCTGGTCTTTCCCGGTGTTTAGGATTTGACTTTCCAACCTCTTCATTGAGCAAAGGAGAGTAGCAGATGGATGGGAATGAAGGAAAAACCTTTCTCCTGAATTTCCAAATTGTCTTTGGCTGAATAGAAATGGTGCATACATTTTCCTCTGGCATCCTCCATAATAAAACTACTGGATAGCCCAAAACAAACACCAGGAGAACCACCGGTAAAGGAAAAATATTTAGGTACATTTTCTGACATTACAAAAATTAAATTTGGCACCACCCCTGAAAATCCTGCAGATTGCTCATTTTAGTCCAAACATGTTTCACTTGTAAATTTTTGAGTAAATAAGCAATTCCAATAGAATTTGCCAATGATCATTAGCAAGCTATTACCTGACATGCCGATAAGTTAATGTTCCTCCTGTGTGTACTGAGTCTGTTTCTCCAAAACCATGTCTGTTGGCTGTACTAGAAACTTTGTTCCATTTAAATATCCCCAGATATAGGTGCCCAGTAATTCTGCCCTGGGTGAAGCCACTTTAGGTCCATTTCCATAGAACAAAAGAGAACTGGAACATAGTAAACCAACTATGAAAATGAAATAGCTGAAGGCCTTTGTTTAAGGTGTTGCTCCCAACAGCGAGATTTGGCACGGGAACCTTATTCTGTCAGACGGATTGTCAAAGCTTTAGTCAGTGTGCAAATACTGTCTACAAAGCAAGGCCGCGCCCTGTTTGAAAGACTGGGCTTGTTACAAGGAATTGCACATTTGACAGCGTTTCTGCCTGGGCAGAAATGGAAGCCAGAGAATTGATGACTCCAACTCTGAGAAAAAAGTCTGCTAATAAAAAGTGGGCAAAGCACTTTATTTAGAGCGGTGGTTCTCAAATGTTAGCTTATATCAGAACCATCTAGAAGGCTTGCTAAAGTACAGATCTCTAATTCAGTAGTCCTGGCTGGGGTCTGATTATTTGCATTTCTAACCACTTCTCAGGTGTATCCCAGGAAACACAATGTGAGAGTTTTTTGCTGAAGTGCTTTCCCTCAACATCCAACCCTGGCAAGATGCCAGGAAAATGCTAGGGTATCTATTTCTCCAAGAGACCCAGGAGTAATAGAAAAAAACTTGTACAGTTTCAATTGTGTATTGTCTCCTTCCATACCTACATATATACTTAAGAAGGGGGATCCCACCACCTCTTAGAAAAATTCCTAAGGCAAAGTGCTCATCGGTTGGGGGCTGGGACATTTTTCATGTCAAAGTATTCCTATTTAATTAGATCTAGAACTCAACCATGAGGTCAAACCCTATTGGTTGATTTCAGAATCAATTGCTATTTATTCTCTACATGAAGGAAAGGGTCAATGAACACATTTACTTATTGAATGACTTTTAGGTCTGAAGTGTTTTTAAATAAAGTATTTGTGAATCTTCCTCACATTCTAGAAGTCATATTAGAACCTTGGTTTGAGCATCACTTAGCTAAAAACTTGGCGGGGCCCTTTTGACTTTGTTTTGTTCACCTTGCCCCTTTTCCTTTGGTTGTTCTTGGTTTCTTGGTTTTTTTTTTTTTTTTTAATTAAGAATATATAAGAGGTAAGATGAAGAGGAAAAAAAACTAAAAAGAGAAAAACCACCAGACTTCCAATATGGTAAGGCCACAGATATGCCTTTCCCAGTAGGTTCCCAGTAGGTTCTCTATACAATTAAGAACCTATCGTCCAAAATGAACTGACGGTAAGTAAAAAATGATTTAGTCCAAATTAAGCAA